CCTCCTACAGCAGGGATCCACATTGGGGGTCGAGCCTGCAACCTGGGCATGTGCCCTGACTGGGTATGGATCTGTGACCTCGTGGTTCATAGATCCAGGCTCAACCACTGATCCATGCCAGCCAGGCTCATCCACTCATCTTAAGGGCTAGAAAGGAGACCTGAGAATTAATACTCCCTCCTGGGCACCATCTTGTCTAGGAGACAAGACTAATGTAGGCAGGATACTTCACTGCAAGGGAAGAGGTGGGCAAGCTGGCATTCCAACTCCTGAGCTCTGCAGAGGGCACTGTTTGCCTGGGTGTGAACATTTGGGGCCTCAGACGACTGACACCACTGCTCAGGGAGGTTCTCTCACTTGGGCCAGACCAGGGCACACAGTTAATTGTTGATTATGATTCTGTCTTTGCCTGCAGAACTCAGAGAGAGCAAAGGGTCCATCCCCTGGGGATGGACCACATTGCTCAGAGGCAGCCAAGGCAATCCTATTGTTCTTTGACAAATACTCAATGTCCCAGCCTCCCTTAAAATGGAAAGAACATGTGACTAAGTCTTGGCAAACAAAATTTAAAGGAAAACATGCAAGTAGGGTTCTGGGAAAGCTTTTATTTCATAATAAAGTAGTGCTGTCTCAATGCCTTCTTGGAGCTGTGGCAGCCACCTGTGGCATGGTGTCAACAGCAAGAATGTGAAAGTAAGAGGATAAACTGTCTAAGTCCTTGATGAACCAACACCTATGACAAGTAGAATGCCTACCAGACTTGTCAGGTGAGAAAAAATAAGCCACTGTTTTAGGTCCTGTAAATCAGGTTGGGTTGCTTGTAGCATATAGTCTTTTTTAAAAATCTGAACTATGGAGTCTCTTTTTTTTTTAATTTTTTGATTTTAGAAAGAGAGGAAGGGAGAGAAACATCGATAAGCTGCCTCCTGCATGCCCCCTATTGGAGATCAAGCCTGCAACCCAGGCATGTGCCGTGACTGGGAATCGACTGGCAACCTCTCAGTGCATGGGACAACCCTCAACCAACTGAGTCTTACTGCCAGGGCACCTAATACATTCTTGATTGGGTGGCGGGGGGCAGGCTTTGTAAGAGACCCAGAAAAAAAATTATCATAAAGGACAGCACTTAACCTCAAAGGACGACTCTCTTCTTGCAGCACACTTGGGTCATTTCTGCCTTTTGGCCCTCTAATTACAAACTGGTTCTTAGACTCATTAATATGTATTCTACCCTCAAACATCAGCCCATTGCTATAAGGTGGTCCAGGCCACTACAGGCTGCATCTAGCTATCCTGCATCATCTGTCTTTTTGGCCAGCAGCCTGGTGTACAGATCTTGAGCTGGAACCAGCTTGAAACTCTGAAGAGAATGCCCCACTGGCCAGAAATGTGGGACGACGACTCCTCCTGGGCAACATGGAGGAGCTTGGACTTTGAGCCAACCTCTTGGCATGCCTGGCCCAGTGAATACCTCGTCTCATGCCTCCTCTGGGAAATGTTTACTCCAGCTTTGCCCTCCACACCCCCTCACCTGCAAAGACACAAACAAGTCAAAGAATGCCACTCAAGAGGCTTTCTCCATTTCCACCGCCACCTCACTCTGCTCCAGGCTCCTGCGCAGAGCGGCCACCTCCTGCTCTTTCTCCCACAGCCGCTCCTCGAGATCCTGGATCAGAGCACTGGGCGAGGGTGGTGAGCAGGCCGAGAATGGCAGGCCTCCACCTCCGCCCTCTCCCGATCCCAGGTGGCCAGACCGCCCCATGGAGGAGGAGGACCCACTCTTGCTAGAGGCCCGCCCACTGTCAGAGGTGGCCAGGTCCTGGTAGCCCGACCCACCACCACTACTGCCAGTGCCACTGCCACTGCCACTACCATAGCCGGCAGTGCCAATGCGGTTAATGTGGCTGGTGGAGGCACTGAGGGGCGCCACGTGCTGGCTGTAGTTAGAGCTGTAGGTGGGCAGGCTTGTGAGTGAGTTCCGGCCTGAGTCTGAGAGGCTGCCCCCACCCCCGTGGGAAAAGAAAACAAAGTCTTTCCATCACATATGGTAGAGATATATATTTATATATATTTATATATAATTTCTTTTGTGGTTGGAAGTCCCAAAGCTGAGTCTGTTAATATTTTTTTTTCTTCTTCTACTAATGCCTTCTCTTCTCCCTGCCCCTCTGGCCCAGGCCCAGATTCTGGGACAGGTCCACCGAGGGGTAAGTGGAATCGGCAGTGATTGCCAGCATGCCCCCCCCTCCCCAACCCAGTTCAGAGATCTGGTGAGGGCCACAGGAAGGGGCTGTGCAAAGAGATAGAGGCCAGAGAGGCACTCCTGTTTTCATGGGGGCTGCACAGCTTGTTAAACAGTCACCAGTCATGGGAGGAGGCTGGTCAGGGGTTAGAGGACTTGCTCACAGTAGTTGCCAGCTCTCCCCACCCAGTCCCCAAACCTAGTCTTGGGGGTGGGAGGAAGAGAGTGAAGAGAGAAATACAAGGGCTAAGGGCCAAGCCTCCTCCAATTTTTATTGCTGGTGAATTAGAAATTTGCCTTTCCCTTCCTACCTTGGGGAGATGGACTCTGAGAGGGCCCACACAGGAGGAAGTCACATTAGATGCCCCAACCCCACTGATGGCCATGTCAGGCCTTTCCTGGGCTACCTCAGGGCCCTGGAGACCCAAAGGTCAGCCTTGTCTTTCAAGGGCAATCACAACCACCCCCCCAAAACAAGGGCCTCAGGCTCAGGTTTGGGCCCAGTGGAGCTTGGAAGTGGGCAGTGAATGCACCAGATATCAAGCAGAAATTTCTACTGGAAGAAAAGGTGAGTTTTGAGGGAAGAGGTGACGATGTTCTGAGCTGAAAGCAGAAGGAGGCTGGGGGAATGGAGTGGGGAAGACATCACAGACACTCATGACCTCAGTACGGGTGAGGGGAGTGCCTGAGAGGCAGGTAGCACTTAATAGCTGTAGTTAGAACCAGACAGTGGCCCTGTGTGTGGGCAGGCCAAGCAGATGAGGCTATTGCCCTTGGATCGTGGTCAGGGACGGGTGTGGGGAGGGCGAGCTTAGAAGCCTCCAGGCGACCCTTCCAGGAACAGGAGGGCAAATCTTTCCTGGACACTGAGCCTCCAGCCCCAGCCCTTCCCTCCCTCAATGCACACTTATGGACACACACTCAGACCAAGCCAGGCTCTGAGGCCTGAACCCTAGAGACCTTGGTGGGGAGGGGCTGGGCAGGGAGCCCTCTCAACCACAGGCAGGCCATCTGCTCCCACTTGTCCTGCCAATCTGCCCAGGAAGGGAGAATAGTGCAAGAAGGAGAGAGGCCAGGAGCCCAAGGTCTATCAGTTTCAGCAGACCCCCTCAGGTTACATGGCCTAGGAGGTGAGCACAGAGAACATTACTGGACACAGAGTAGCCAACAGTAGCAGCTCAGACCCAATGAGGGGCTGGGGCACCTCATGGCACTACAGGCCTGCCACCTCCATCTCCAACAAGGGAGGGCCAACAAAGGGAGCCTGGGCCCCTAGTCCCCGGCTCGCTCTGCCCTCTCCCTGTTCCCTCCTTGGAGGAGGGCCCAGTGGGTTGCCCAGAGGGGCAGTAGTAGAGCTAGAAGGGCACTCAGTGCAGGAAGGGAAGGGACCTGGCCACAGCTGCTTTGAGAACCTCTTTGGTCTGGGGACATGGGAA